GCTGCCGCTGCCGCCGCCGCCGCTTCTCAGGTCGCCGTTGAGATCCATCGCCAGCGAGGCGAGTGCGTGTTCGTGGGCCACCGGCACCGTTGCCAGCCACTCCGCATTCACCCTATTCGAAAAGGACGACTCCGCATCATAGCGGACCAGACTGAATCCAACCATGGAGCTGCGGAATGCGACACACTTTTTACTGTAGTCAATGTCGAGTGGCGCAACGAAACGCGTGGTGGACGCCGTGGAGGAGTCGGAGGCGGCGGCGGCGGCGGCGGCGGCAGAGTCGCCAAGGTTCAGCTGCTGGAACTTTGCCGCGGGCAAAGGAACGCTCGCGGCGAGCGGGGACGAGGTTGAGTTCACCGGGCACGAGTTGGGGCTCCGGTCCGGCCACAGCGGCACGGCGAAGCCGCACGTCCCCGTCTCGAAGCTGTGCAGGCGCAGTTCCCTGGTGGTGAGAACGATGATGAGACGGTGATCCAGCCGCAGGTCCTCGACGGGGTCCGGTACGCACACCTTGCGGTCTGCCCACATGTCACCGGTGAGAAATATCTGGACGACGTTTCTTGGCCCCACCGGGTACGGCCCGCCACCAACCGCGGCGACAAACTTCGTCTTGTACAGGAGCGCCATCACACCCACGCCGCTCTCCGTCGGTAGCGGCGCATCCCGCACCTGCTCCCTCCACCGCGCCAGATGCGAAGCCGGGGCCGTCGACGTCGACGTCGACGTCGTCGCGCGGTTTCCCTCGCGCATTGAACCCGCAGCGGCAGAAGTGCCGGCCGGCGAGCCCTGCGGCTCCCCCCGCGTCTGCTCCGCCTCCCCGCGCCCCGGCAGCCCGCTCGCGTGCCGCGGGGGGGAGCTGTGTGCGAGGGCGTCAAGCAGGGGGTCGTCGCCCGCCTCCTCCTGCTGGTCGCTGCAGCGCCCAGTTACTTCGCTTGTGGCCCTCTCGGGCGAGGCCGGGGCGTCGTTCGGCACGTCCCACGATGACGGCGTCGAGCTCCGGCTCCTGCGCCTCGGCGGAAAGACCGCCTCAATCGTGGTGTAAAACGGCGGCCTCGCGCACGCCGCTCCCTCCCCTCCCTCCGCCGCAGCGGGGGCGGCGCGGCGGTGGATGTGGTAGACGACGTAGCCCTTGTGGTGGCCCACGCCGACGCGCGAGAAGTCCTGGTTGAGGCAGAGGCACAGTGGCTGCAGGATCTCCTCCACGTCGTCCAGCAGGTCAAAGTCCATGACTGGCCTGGGCGAAGGCGCGGCCAGCGGAACAGGCGGAAACTAACCAAGCACGCCCACACACAGAGAGAGAGAGGCAGAGGCAATAAAGTAGAAACAAGCGGGAGGGGGGAGGGGGAAACAACGCTTTTCTGCGTTGCCTTCCCCGTTCACCGTTTGTGAGGTCTCTACTGCGCGTTAACTACTGACTTGGGGTTGGGGAGGAGGAGGAAAGAGAGGCAAATACCTTCCTCACAGAAAAAAAGAAAGAAATAAACGGAAGCAAAGAAACAGTAAAGAAGGAGGAAGAAAACACGTTCCTTCTGTCTTATGGGTGCAAGAAGAAAGAAAGAAAGAAAGTCACACACACACAAACAGACGGATATGTCAAGGAGGAGATGTTTGCATGTGTGCAATTAATGGTGGCGCCAGGGAAACACGCAACCCGCACCCCGCTTTTTCACCCCTCTTACACCCAAGTTTGAATGCGGGGGAGCTCGCAGGTTATCCCTGCTGCGCCGCACTTCTCCTATTCAACTTCGCCTCTTCTCCCCGCACACGTTTCTTTTCTGTGAACGGAACGCCTCAGCTTCTCTTCCTCCACGACACACCACATTGCCAGCCCCCCCAAGGAGAAAGGTCCTCTGCAGCGTAAAAAAACAAAACAAAACAAATAAAAACAGACAAACAACAACAACAAAAACGAAGTGACCAAGAAAAGCTGCGGTGGTCATCAAAACGGCCCCGGTTTACTTGTCGTGGAGGCAGAGTTGGCGGCCTGCTGCAGGTACGCCATTAACTCGGCATCGTCGCGCGACATGGCGACCCACGGGACCCCCTTGCGCACCATCTGCTCCCCCAGGTACCAAAGCGCGTAGCACCGCCGCCGCCGCTGCTCCTCGCTCAAGGTGACGTCCTGCAGGACGTTCTGGGCGGCGTAGCGAAGAATGACGCTCACGTCAGCCACCACGGCGTCAAACTCCATACTAAAGTACTCAATCATCACCTTCTGCGCAAGCCACTCATGGTTGTTCTTGGCACGATCATCAATCTTCTCCCGAAACGCCGCGTAGACACGGTCAACCCCAGAGAAAATACTCTTGTACACGTGAAGCTTGGGGGCGTAGAAGGGGCGGATCCGCAGGAAACGCTGGCTGGAGATGACGTAGGACTGCCCTACCGCATGCATCAGCTCCCGGCCAAAACACGCCTCGGACAAGCGTCGCGTGAATCGCTCGCAACGCTCCTCGAAATCCCGTGAGAAACAGTTATCCTCGTTGCTTCCGGGAGTTAGCGTGAACGGGGACTCCGCCGCCGTGGTTGCGGCAGGCCGCTGCGAGGACGAGGGCGATTTAAGCCTTGGCGCAGTGCCGCCTAGCTCACTCATCATGCTATGTAGCACCTCCGTCCGGCCATGTGTCGCACGTTGCTGGCTCTTCCCTCGCGCCGGTGGCGCCTTGGCGTGTACGTCAAGGATCCGCGCCAGCTCCACCGTGAGCTCGCGGCAGCGCAGACACTGCAGCTCCTCAAACTCGTGCAAGGAAACACTGACCTGTGCCTCGTTCCGCAGATGCCAATGGGACCGCAGCAGGGCGCCAAGTATCTTTTCACGGAAAGGCTCCCCACCAAAGACGCTCTGAATCATTTCCTCCGGGGTGCGTGACATGAAGCGTCCCATTTTGCTTTCGTGTAGGCGCAGTGCCTGGGCCCCGCCGAGGTCAAAGGACTTGCGCTTCTCAGGGTTTGATAAAACTTGATACGCCTGCGAGATGTCTTCAAACTTCCGCTGCACCTCCCGTCGCTCCTGCTCACTCAACGCCCCCCCATGACGGCTTTGCACCACGTCTGGGTGAAACACCTTCGCCAGATTCTTGTACTGTGCCTTGATCTGCGCCTGTGTGGCGGAGCGCTTCACCTGGAGCACCTCGTACGGGTCCTCCCCCTCCCCCGCCGCCGCGGAGGCTTGACGCTGGCCACCGCCCATCCGCCGCATCGTCTGGTTTAGCTTGTCGAAGGAGAATCCCATGGAGGCGAGCCGCTGCTGCCACCGCTCCTCCGGCCGCATGTTTTTGCGGCGAAACTCCAGACGCCCCACGCCCCGGATGGCGCGCTGCTCCAGCTGAATATCGTGACGCAGCCACGCGGAGTCCAGGGCGGTGCAGTACTGCCACCGGCCGGCACTCACCTCGAAAAAGAGCGTCCCCGCCACGGCATTCCACGCACCGTAGACGCTGTTGCGGACCCCACACGGGAGATGAATACATGGCGAGACGACAAGCCCGTACGCGAGGAACTGCGTGGCGCGAAACAGGCCCAAGGTGGCTCCCTTGACAGCTCCAACGCAGACGCCGTGGTCACGCACCCCGCGCATCGCCCCAAACAGGACACACCCAACCGCATTCTGCACCGCAACCACCACATTCCACAGCATCGCGTAGAGCGAGAGCCAGATGTGCCGCTTTGGTGTTAAGTTCATCCGACTGTAGAAGTTCAGCGCGTGGAGCCGCTTCATCCGGCGAATGTAGTCCAGGTCCTCCGTCAGCGTCACGAGTTGATCCAATCGCCCTGGCTGCTGCCGCTGCTGCTTGGCGCGGCCGCACAGACGCTGGACAGCCGAGCACGCCACTTTAACTGCCTGAACTAACGGTGAGGAGGAGCCCGAGGGCTTTACCCATCCAGCGGGACAACCGCCATGCGTCCCGTCCGCGTGGTACCGCCGCATCACGGCTACAACGTTCGCGGGACGCCCCGTGAGCGTCGCCGCCCGCGTGTCCAGGACAAGCTGCGGCTTCTCAAAGAGGACGTACGACAGACGGCGCAGCTCCGCGTCCAACGCATCCGCCTTTGCGGCGAGTCGGTAGGCGAATGGGAGAAGCTCGGCCTCCTCGCGTTCCGCGTCCATGACGCGGAACTCCTCCTCCTCCAGCTCCCGCTGCTCCTCGTCGGTGAGGCCGCTCCCGCTCCCGCTGCCGCCGCCGCCCTTCGCCGGCAGCAGCGCCACTGCCGTCGTCGCAAAGGGGGCGACACGCGCCCCAAACACGACAACCGAGAGCCGTCGCATCTCCTCCGCGGCGGGTGTCAAGGTCGAAGTAATATCCGCTTCCTCCCGCGTGTGGAGCGGGTGCAGGTCAAAGGAAGAGGCGAGGGAAGACACATGCGACGCCGGCGCACGTTTGCTGCGCATCGGCAGCGAAGCAAAAGCGAACAAACAACAAAAAAGAAAACAGTCAGCAACGTCCTGCACACGCAGAGAGTGGCAGACGCACAGCGAGAGAAACATAGGCTCAGCACAAAAACAAATAGGCCTACCGGCGCGTGTATACATTAACCTGCGTTTCTGAAAGCGCGCAAAGCCACACGACAAAAGCCAGGAAAAAAAACAAGGCAAAACAACGCACAAAACAACACCGGCAATAAGCAGAGTAGAAGCAAAAAAAAAGCAAACAGAAAAAAAAACAAAGTATATAAAATAATAAGCGGGAAAAACATAATGAGCGCCTAAAAATGCGTGCGGCACACGTGAGGGATGTCGCTAGCAATAATTCAGTTGAATGCCTAGCGCTGGATGTGTGCGTGCACGCACGGGTCATAAGGGAGGCTGCGATCAAGTGACAGACAGGACGCATCGGTTGACGCCCCCCCCCCCCCAGCGCTCAGCAAGAAGATAAGGCGCATTCAATATACGCCCTGTTTACATACATTGGGAGAGAGCGAGAGAAAGAGTGAGGACGAGGAGCAAACGTGCGTGGAGTGCAGTAGACGACCGCAAACAACATCCCCCCCACATTTCGTGCCTTTACCGTCCCTCTGCCGCTTCTTTCTTGTTTTTGTCGCTTCAAAAACGCCCACCCACCCACCCACCCACTCACACACACACACGCACAGAGACAAATTGGTCTTGTCCCCACCACACAAACCCCCTTTGTTGTAAGCATATAATACTATATATATATATATATATATATCTCAGTTTCGCACGTTTCCCGTTACCCCGCACCGCAATGAAACCCTGCGTGTAATTCATTGCAAAAATACAACAAAGAAGCAAGAGCAACGACACAATCAGCACGTACAGTAGCGGGCGACCAGTCGAAGCTCACACACACTCCCCCACCCCACCGCAGCCCCAACTTTACTCAGCGCCGTGCCGCTTTTGCCTCCCCACTTCGACGCTTTTTTTTGTTTGTTTGCTGGCTTGCGGGGTCCCTCTCTTCGCATCGTTTAAACGGCTTTAACGTCCGCAGCCCACAAAACTAGCAGGCGCAGCCGGACTTCTCCGCACGCCTCGCCCGGTTAGAATGGGAAAGTTTTCCACTAGCGCCATTGCCGGCCGCAGCGTCAGCGCCCGGCTCGCCGCCGCTGCCTAAGGCGTCCGTCGCGTCCAAAACACAATCCACCAGCTTCTGGAAGGCGGCGTCCACGTTCTTGTTTTCCTTCGCGCTGGTGACGAACCACGCCTCGAAGCCGTGCTCGCGACAGAACGCGTCCATCTCCTCCTTTGTCTTCTGAATCCCGCCCTCGCTGGCGGAGACGCAGTGACCGTTACTGTCTCCCGCCGCCGCGGCTGCCAGCACCCCGTTGGGCAGCAGGTCCAGTTTGTTGATGAGCAGGATGCAGGGGATGGGTTTTCCGGACGCACCGAGAAAAACCTTGCTGTCCAAGTCCTGCTTCCACTTCACCGCCAGATCAAGTGTCTCCGGCCGGGTGATGTCGGCCACGACGAGGGCCCCAGCGGCTGCCTGGTAATACACGCGTGTCATCTGGCCGTAGCGCTCCTGCCCTGCAATGTCCCAAAGCTGCAGAGTGAGGTTGCGTTTGGATGCAGCATGCACAATGTCCTTCAGAGCAAAATCCACTCCAATGGTGGCCTTGTTGGTGGCTAGAAATATGCTGTGTACATAGCGGCGAATCAGACACGTCTTTCCTGTGCCGCCCTCACCGACGATAAGCACCTTGAACAAAAGCTCGCTGCTTCTAGCGTAGGCCATCACGTGCGATGTTCCTTGACGGTCCAGCAGTGTGTGTGTGTGTGTGTGCGTCTATCGCTCGCTTACTCTGCTGTGTCGGTGACTTCCCTCCACTATGACGTCGTTCCAGCCGCCTGCCCCCTGCGGTATTGTTAGTATTATTTTCTTTTCCCTGAGTTCAGGCTGTGATATGCAACGAAGGCTCGTGTTGTGGGCACCCGTTTTGGCGGTCGACGCACCGCGCCAAGGCCGGCACGCAACGCCAATGGAAGAGAGAGAGAGAAAGAGAGAGAGAGAGAGAGCATCAGCAGCAGCGGCAGCGGATAAACTAACACGTACCAAAGGAAGCCGACAAGACACACACACACACACACACACGCACGCAAAACAAAAACAACTTCAGCATCAGTGCATTTTCCCTCTAGCACAGCGCGGGCCCCGTCGTGCCACCTCTTGCCATCAAAGAATTCACGGAAACTTTTTTTCCTCCTCGCGTCGCCGGCGTGGCGAAAAATGGCCCGCAACGCACCCAAGCGGCCGCCCAGGCGCGGGCCAATCGATAGGCGAGCGTCGGCAAGTGGAGACGCCGTTGGGCCATTTCAGCCACACGGCCGCGTTGAAGACCCGCTTAGGCGGCTGTTGTCTACCAGGGCCCCACACTCCCCGGAAAGCGCGGGGAGCGTCGTGGGCGGCGTGCGATACATTGCACCCACACGCGCAGTTGCACTTGCCCTTCAAAAGCACCGCGCCTTGCGGGAGGCTACACGTAATGGGAGAAGAGTTGAAAGAGAGGCAGCCGTTGCTGGGGCAGTTTTGCCTTTTCTCCGCCGGAGACACGTCACGCCAAGCCAAATTAGTCCCCTCCGCCCCCTCCATCGCGGGGTCGCAAGAAGAGGAGGAAGAACAAAAATTATGTATTTGTAAGACTCATGAAAGTCATCCATAAGTTCAAGGAAGAGGGGGGGGGGGGGGAAAAAAAAAAACGAAAAACAAAAAACAAAAAACAAACAATAAAAGCAAAAACGAAAAAAAAAACAAAGACAGGAAACAACAAAAAAAATGGAAATGAAAAGAGGAAACGGCAAAAAAAAAAAATACAAC